TAAGCATAAGATGATGTGGTGGCCTGTCTGTTCTCTGACGTGCGATTTGCTTTGGCCAAATTTAGTCTCAGCACCAAATATGGATTGGGCAAATCGTTTTTGTTGATGGATTGGGGGCCCGTAAACCATGACTCAAGTAATTCTCGGCTCAGTCACTTGTTACCCCTTGCAAGAATTTCGACCTCATCAAATTTGAATGTGTGGCCGGGCCTCGTCGAATGAGCCGCAACTTGAGAACTGGCATCATTCCGCCTTACTGCCGTCACGTGTTCGGCAATTCGCGTCTTGAGAAGCCTGCCTGCCAGCCGCACAACATCTATCTTATTCCCTCCTCCTTTCCCACCTGGGCCTGGAATTGGTGGCATGTATAGGTGGAGGTTCATGCCGCAACAGGCATCTGTGGCCTTTATGGCATTCCCACTCCGTGGGTTCTGAGTCAGGTATGACGGCTCCGGTCGTTTGCGTCCGATTTCGCCGTCGGTCTTTTTGACCCTGTCTTGGCATTGAATTCAGGCGGGTAAGCGAAGAGAGAGAGAGAGAGTGAGAGAGTGCGATAGCCACAGCGAAGTCACTGTCCCTGCGCCATCACCTCATGAAGCAGATGGTGAACCTAGTCGAAACTGACAGTCGACCTGAATAAAAAAATGTATTTGTGTGCGCAATTTTTTATGCTCCAAGCCGCTTTCTCCACCCACCTCACTGCTTTACTCCTCTGCAGGTTGTTCGCACGGGCCAGACGTCCTTCCATCTGATCACCAACGGTGGACTACAGTCCGCGGAAGTGCATCGCATGTCCGGTGACGGTCTTCTCATAACTCACGAGTCCACCTCCTGCATGACTTACTGCCGTGAGGACGCTCAGGGTTACCAGACCGTGATCGATAATCGCACCATCGTCTTCTCCAAGGAGTCCGACCTCTCTCTTCTCCGGTAAATAGCACCAATACCTTCCTTTATTTAGCACAGGCCTTTGTCAGCTCAACCAACAGGCTGAGATAGCACTGAACCCTGATAACTAATATGCCTTTGCACCTTCGTTGATTAGCGTTCACCGATCGTTAACGGAAATCACTCGTCCCGCTTTGCCTTGAAGCCCCTTGTCGACGCTGTCGGCAGCCGCACAGTGGCTGGTATACTGGGCATATAGCACCGCCAGCAAAAAACAAGGTAGACCGGAATGGCCATTTCTGGCTCATTAGCCGTCATCAGCCAGTTATTCGCAACCCTTAAAACAACCAGATCGTGGCTCAATGGTTAGAACGTTAGACTTCTGATAAAAAAGTCGCGAGTTCGAGTCTTTGCTAGGGCACCACTTTGTATTGGGTATAACTGGATGAAGGCAACTAATGAGCCAGCAATGTCCATTCCAGTCTCCTTTATCCTTGCTGGCCGCGCTATCTGCCTATTGCGGTC